CTGAGTACTCAGCCCTGCTGTCTGGCTAGTCATCAGGCCACAGCACTCAGCTGCACCCAACCTTTGCCAGGTGAGTAGGACAGTTTTGGTTTTATCTCTCCTGCTTCCTGGTTAACTGAGGCAGGCTCTGAAGGGGCAAGCCAGAGCATGTCTGCACCCTCACAATCTGGCCTACCAGCTTCATGTGGGGCCAGTACCTTGAGACCCTAGAACATAGAAAACAGCTGATCAACCCATGCTGGATCTTTCCTCCCATCTCCAAAGGAATCTACCCAAGTGTATATGCATTAGCTACTAGAAACTCCACTGCTTGTCATGACTTGCCATGAACTGCCCCAGAGCAAGCATATAGATTCAATTGTTTATTTTATAATCAATGGAATTAATATTCAACACCTGAATATTCTGATGAAGCTCAACATCAAGAAGACAAGGATTCTCACCACTGGGCTAATTGGCTGCTCCATGATAGATGGAGAAGAGATTGAGGTTGTTAATTTAGCTTGTTTGGGTCCACAATCAACACTCTTGGCACCAGCAGTTAGGAAATCAAAAGATGAATTTCATTGGGAAAATCTGCTGTTAGGGACCTCTCTAGAGTACTGAAAAACAACGAAGTCAACTTAAAAACGAAGGTGCCCCGATCTAGTCCATGATCTTTGCTGGACAATGACTAAGGATTATAGAAGAAAAATCGATGCCTTTGAGTTGTGGTGCTGGAGAAGAGTCTTGGACATAGTATGGACCGCCAAAAGAAAACAAACAGGTCTATCTTTGAGAGGGTGAAACCAAGTGTCTCCTTGGAGGCTAGGATTTTGAAGCTCCGTCTCACATACTTTGGGCACGTGGCCAGCAGGGACCAATCCTTAGAGAAGGACATCATGCTCAGATATGTAGAGAGACAGCACAGGAGAGGAAGACCCTGGACGAGATGATTAATACAGTAACTGGGGCAATGGTGGAAGATGTGTTGGAATCGGTGAGACTTAACTAGATCAGGACAGGACAGGCTTCAAAGCTGCTATACATAGGCTCACCATAGGTTGCAGGTGATTTGATGGCACATAACAACAATCACTGGAATATTATCGAATTCCATCCTTGACTTCTTGACCATTGTTAATATTTTCAGACTTCTGAATGAGGAAAAATGAGGCCAAAAGTTACTTCCGGAAACGTCATGAGACATGTATACGATATGCTATGCCAGAACTTTTTAACATCATTTTGTAATTTGCTCCCTTAACATGTGTGTGTGTTATTTATAAAATATACTATTTCTGAAAAATATCATAAAGTTTTCAGTATAAAGAAAACCCACTTTTAGGTAAGTGAACATGTGAGCCAAAGACAATTTAGTACCTAAAAGACAGGCTCTGATCCACTTTTCATAGGGTCACTATGCATCCTACTTTATTCGATGGCGTGTAAGAACAGCAACACATAAAAAAAAATTCATTTTCTTAAACATGAAGCCTAAGTATAAATCTATTCTAATTTGGGGATATAAGCCTTCAGTCTACAGGAAGCCAATGTGCTCCAAAAGAGTTTAATGGATGTGATCACAATACTCCTGAAAACAAAATGAAAATAACCATTCATTTGTCCAGTGGGAGGTTATAACCATAAGGGTAATATTATATATATCTATCTATATCTATATATCTATATCTATATGCAGTATTTGGTGTATTTCCAAAGTACTTCCACATAAACTAATTTATTTTCATGAAGAGTAAAGACAAAGGCCGAATGTTCTTAACAATTTTCAGTTTGGCTGTGATGCTTGCTTACTTACATATTATTCTTTTTGAGGGTCCTAGAGCTAGTCAGTGACAGTCAGGTCTAGACCCAAGATTCTCTGTTTCCAGTTAGACTGCTGGATGTCTCATAAGTATAAATGGTGTATGTTAAATATGGAGACCTTGGTGGATTTGCATGTAGACTTTCACAAAATCATATTCAGTTACATTTTTAGATTTGGGGGTTAGGAAAGAAAATGTACAATCCAAGAATTAACATAACATGCTGGGAAATGGTATCTTAGAGAAAAATGTTCTTCATCGGGGAGAAATCAGTGTACAAAAAAAGTACGGATAATTTAAAAGCGATGTATGAGAGGGTATTATGGTTATCACAAGAGTCCACAACTAAGGTTGCATAGTGGAATGTACTTGGGATGGTGGGAGGGGTGTGGGGGGATTGGGGGATTGTGTACCAGGGAGGGAGTCTTTCTTTTACTTTTGAAAAAGAGGAGCAAACTGGGGGGCAGGGGGAGAGGGCTGGGCGGGGAGAGAAGTGCAGCAATGAATGAATGGAAATCCAAATTCTCTGTAAATGTTCATTAAAATTATTTTTAAAAAAGTATGGAGTAACATATAACACTATTTAAAAAAAAACAACATGATGAAACCTTCCAAATGTTCAATCTCTGTAGCAGATAGGTAAATATTTGCTTTGAGTACCCATTGCTTAATAAGATATTTCTAAAGATAAGAACAAAATAGACCTTTTAAAGTGTATTCCCTAGTTTACTTACAGTACTGGCATTCTCTTTAATGTATGTGTAGATACACTGTGACATACAACAAATCACTAATATGTCTTTGTGAACAAGACCTTCAGCATAAAAGATGCTGAATTAAACACAGCCTTGGATATCTAGTTTTGCAATAGCAGAAATACAAGTGAATGGCTTTAACAAACAAATATTATTTCACAGTTTAGGAAGATGGAAGTTCTCCGAAGAAACACCTCACCTACAGATGATGAAAGAGGCAGTGACCTTCCTTCACATACAACAGGGAAAAAACTTCCATCTCTACATATCATTCTCTACCAAAGAGAGCCAGTGTTACATGGGAAAAAGGTGAACCCAGGTAGTCAAGAAATGTACAAGATAAGCAATCCATGAAAAGGAAAACCAAAGTCATTTAAATGCATATTAAGTTGGTAGTAGACCCTCACAACGTTTTGCCCAACTAGTAGAATTTACCTGAAGCATTTTATGTCTCTATTCTTAATTCAAGGGCTCTCTTGTGGTTAAGTGGTAAGACATTATGCTGCCAATGCAAAAGTATGAAGTTCGAATCCACCAGCTACTCCACAGGAGAATGATAAGCAATCTCCTCCCATGCAATTTACTCCCTCTGAAAACCCTCTGGAGGGTCAGCTATGGGTCACTTTTGACGTGGTAGGACACAACAACAAATACTTAATTCAATGTCATATGAAGAAATTCCTCACTTACCATATAATATAGTAACAAAATGTATTATATTTTATTTTCATGTTACTTAACCCTTTCTACAGAAGGGTAATTCTAAAATGTTATAAACACAACTTTAATCATCATTATAAGCTTTGATGGTGTAGGGCATAAAGTGTTCTGCTGCTAACCAAAAGGCCACAGGTTCAAATTCCCCAGCTTCTGCTCAAAAGAAAGATGATGAGTCACCTCTTGCAAAGATACATGGCCTTAGAACCCTTTGAAACCCATCGGAGGGTTATTAAAAGTACAATCAAGTTGATTCTAATGGGAAATGTTCATTACCAATTGAAATGTTCAGGATTAACTGAAGATTTGAGAGAAAATAAATCATCTACAGGCACAACATGGCCAGATTAAGTTCTCACAAAAATTAATAGAAAAAAAATACAAAAACTTATGATTGAGGTGGCTATCCAGGCCTTATATATGTTACTGTAACTTTCTCGTAGTCTTCAAAGTCTATGATAAAAGGATGCAACTATTAGTCAATTTGTCTGTACACGATAGCACCTCTCTGGATTTGTAGAGTTCAATTCTTGCTATACTTTAACCCTTCTAAACCACCATTCTAGACAAAGTAAGACTAACAATCTAAGTACTTTCAAAAATGAGCATGTCCATATGTAATCTATTCACTCCCCTATGTCTTGAATGTAGTATGCACCTGCTGAGGAAGAAAGTCAAGTCAGATTTAAAGGCATATTCTTCCTTTTTTCCTGTCTTCCAACTTTTTAGATCTAATATATTTATGGGGCCAACTGGCAGCATCAGTATGGATGGTGAAGAGACTGAGATAGTTAACAGTTTTAGTTTACTTGGCTCCACAGTCAACACTCTGGGTAACAGCAGCCAGGAAACCAAGACACGAATTGCATTGGGAAAGTCAGCTATGAGGGACGTCTCAAGAGTACTGAAGAGCAATGACATCAGGCTGGAGACTAAGGTGCACCTGATCTGGGCTATAGTCTTCGCAATTACGTGCTATGTATGAAAGAGTTGGACAATGAACAGGGATGATAGAGAACTGATGCCTTTGAGCTGTGGTGCTGGAGATAAGTATTGAATATACCATGGACTGCTAGGAGAACAAACAGGTTTGTCCTAGAGAAGGTGAAGCCAGAATGCTCCTTAGAGTCAAGGATTCTGAAGCTTCATCTGACATACTTTGGGTATGTTGCAAGAAGGGACTGGTCCTTGGAGAGGGCTATCATGTTTGGCAAAGTGGAGGGGCAGTGCAGGAGAGGAAGACCTTTGATGAGATGGATCGATTCTGCTGGAGTGGTGGGAATGAGTTCATTTGAGATGGCTAGATTGGCACAGGCTAGAACGACGTTTAGAGCTCTTGCACACAGGGTTGCTATGAGTCACAAGCAACTTGATGGCACATAACAACAAACATTCTTTCTCTAGGCAATTAAGGTGAATGTGGCTGTGGACCACAACCATAAATCTATTTCTCCATATCAAAACTCTGCTACTGACTTGTCCTAGATGTTCATTATTATTTCAGTCTCATATAAATTTTCTTTTTACTGCTCAAGACACTGTAATACTTGACTCAAGACAGACTAGACAAATTTTCCAAGATAAACTTTAATTCTTGTGATAAAAAGTAAGATTTATAACAAATGTTTCTGAAATCATAATTTAAATATTTCTAAATTTTTTTTAACATGCTAGATATGTAACACAAAGAATTTTTAATCTTTGTAAATTTTAAAAGCAAAGTTATGCACATGTACTTATAGCATGACCACATTTCACAAGTCAGGTATTTTAATGTAAAGTTTTCAGGAAAAATGTTTATCAGGTACAGAATTAAACTGAAGACATGGCTTTTCCTTATTACTGATCAGAATTTTTTAAATACTTGAAGAAAAAAAATAATGAATACAGAGTTTTATATTGACTGTTGTTTCTTTTCCAAACACTTCTCAATATCATCAAGCACTTGAACTGCAGCTTTTGGAATTCGAGTCCCAGGACCAAATACATTGGAAACTCCAACATCAAAGAGAAATTCATAATCCTGTTGAAAGAATTGTGTTTAATTAGCAGAAGAGGCAATATTTTCATTCAATAAAACAACAAGACTTATCTTTTCCTCTCTGTCCTCAATATTCAAAGTTTACTCAGCTGGTACACCATTGGCACTTGGGACTAAAATATTACTTCCATTCTTTTGATAGACACCACAACTAATAAGTAACTCACATTACCACCTTCCAAACTTAAATCATCGTAAGAAGCAGAACACATTCATCAATTTCCCAAACGTTCAAATAGGGTGTTGTTGTGGGGGAGAATTTCTGTGCCCTAAACTGTAATTTTTTCCTCATCTGAATTTTCAGTACTTGTCTGTGTTAAATTATCAGATTATAGCTCTGAGTTCACAAGGCACCTTAGATTCCCTCGCAGATACTCTACAGCTAGTGCTGGTAATTTAAACTTAACATCATGATGGAACAGAAGTCCCTATAACTGAATATTAAGTCATTCTCCTCTGCTCCCAATTTTATCCTTTGATGCTGCTACTGCTGGTTAATTTATCTCAAACATGGACAAGGTTTGAAAAAAGGTGTCCAGGTCACATACGGTGCTCTTGACTATAGGTTGTTTAACATCAGGAAATATAACTCTCAAACAAGTGTTAGCCCTGATTTATATCCACTACAGTGATCACACATACCAGCAGAATCTGGTTTACGCTTTTTATTCCAGTATCCTTTGACACCCTCAGAAGTGGTTACATTTGCATGATAAAGTGCATCATGCTAATTATTCACCACTATTTCTTCTCTTTCTCTATTACATCCTTGTAATATTATACTATTGCAATAATACAACTCTAAAATGGCATTAGAATATCTTATTGAATGTGGTCTTCTCTGAGTCTATGAGCTTCTTAAGAACAAGAAAAAAAGTCAAGCCCAAAACCCCATTATCAAGAAATCAATTCTGACCGACAGCAACTCCATGCTTCCTGGATTAGAACAGCTCTGCAAGATTTTCTTGGTTATTATCTTTACATCAGCAGGCACTGATATAAAGAAATTTATAAAAAAGGACTGTTTTGAATGGTGCTGCTGAATGGATTCCAATCTATCAGCCTTCGGGTTACTTCCTAGTTGAGCACAAACGGTATGTACAACTTTGAGAGTAGAGAGTAGTTTACTTATTTTTGTATTATGAACAGCTTGTACATGTTGTTGTTGTTAGGTGCCGTGGAGTTGAGTACTATCCATAGTGACCCTCTGAACAACAGATCTGAACCCTGTCCTATCCTGTGGCATCCTCACAATTTCTGACACACTCGAGCCCATTGCACTAGGCACTGTGTCAATCCATCTGGCTTTGAGGGTCTGTCTTTCCTTTGCCATCCCTCTACCTTTCAGGTACGCTGTTCCTCTCCAGGGATCAGCCTCTCCTAGCAACATATGAGACGAAGCTTTATCATCTTTGCCTCCAAGACTTATCTGTTTGTCCTTTTTTGGCTGTCCATGGGATAGTTAGTACTCTTCTCCAACGTCACAGCACAAAGGCATCAATTCTTCTTCAATCATCCTTATTCATTGCCCAGCTCTCAGATGCATGGCAAGTGATTGAAAAGACCATGGCCTGAATCTGGCACACCTTAGACCTCAAATTGATATCATTGCTCCTCAATAATTTGGAGAGGTCCCTGACTAGACACTTTCTCAGTGCAATACCTCTTCTGATCGCCTAACTGCTGGTAACATCGGTGTAGACTGTAGATTCAGAAAAGTGTTCAATATATGCCATTATGCTCAGTCAGATGCTACATAACAGTACATAGTTAGGGAACTACCTGGAATGGTACCAGGGATAGCACTGCAGATGTCAGATGGATCCTGTCTGAAAGCAAAGAATACCAGACAAATGTCTATTTGTGCTTTATTGACTATGCAAAGGCATTTGTCTGTATGGGTCATAACACATTATGGCTAACATTGAGAAGAATAGGAATTCCAAAGCACTTAATTGTGCTTATGCGAAACCTCAAACTAGACCAAGATGCTTAATGTGTGAACAAAGCAGGAGAACACTACATGGTTTAAAATTAGGAAAGGTATGCATCAGTATTGTATCTTCTCTCTCTGTATACTAAGCAAATTATTCAAGAAGCTGGACTCTATGAAATGTGTATTAGGATTGGAGTAAGATTCTTTAATACCTTCACTATGCGGATAACGCAACCTTGCTTGCTGAAAGTGAGGAGAAGGTTAAACACTGCAGCCTTCAATATGGATTGCATCTCAATATTAAAAAAACCAAAACAAAAATCCTCTCCATTGGACTGCAAGGCATCATGAAGCAAAGACTGAGACTGTCAACTTCATTTTATTTGGATCCACAATCAATACGCTGATCCAACAGTCAGTAGATCAGGAGACATATTGCACTGGGGAAGTTTATAGTTAGGGACCTCTCCAAATTATAGAGAAGCAATGATGCCAGTTTGAAGACTAAAGTGTGCCTGATTCAGACCACATAGTTTGCCTCATAAACTTTGGGCATGTTGCTTGCTGTTCTTGTTCGGTGCTGTTAAGTAGAACTAATAGCAACCCAATGAACAACAGATCTGAACCCTGTTCTACCCTGTGCCATCCTTGAGCCCATTTCAGAAGTCACTGTGTCAATCCATCTGGTTGAGAGTCTTCCTCTCCTTTGCTCACCCTCCACCTTTCCAAACATGATGTCCCTCTCCATGGAATTGCCTCTTACAGGAACATGCCCAAAATACGTTGAGACACAGCTTTATCATCTATGCCTCCAAGGAGCACTGTGGCTGCACTTTCTCCAAGACGTATCTGTTCTCTTGGCAGTTCACAGGGTAATCAGTACTCTTCTCCAATATCACAAATCAAAGGCATCAATTTTCTTCAGTCATCCTCACTCAAAGATCAACTTTCAGTTGCATAGAAAGTAACTGAAAAAACCATGGTTAACTCAAAGGTGGTACCTCTTTGGTGGTTTTAAATACACCAGCAGCTCTATGGAAGAATGATGGGCAATCTCCTTCCCTGTGATTTACAGTCTTTGAAAATCTGCTGGAAAGTCAGTTATGAGTCAATTCTGAGTGTACGGCAATTAGTGAGTGACTGAAGCAAGTAGGAGCATCTCACTATAGCTTTTATTTGTATCTCCTCAGTGATTAATGCTGTGATTGTTATGTGTCCTCATGTCAAGTATAATTCATAGTGAATCTATGAAAAAGATAGATCTGAAACCCACCCTATCCAATGCCATCCTTACCATCCAACACAGCTGAACCTACTGCTACAGTCACTTTGACAATACATCTTATAAAGGGTCTGCCTCTCCATCTTTTGAAACCTGATGTTCTTCTCCAACAACTATCCCCTCTTAAGAAAGCATGTCCAAAGTATAGAAGATGCAGGTTCACCATGTCCTTGCTTCCAAGGAGCACTTTGGTTGCACTTTCTCCAAGACAGACCTCTCTGTTCTCTTGGCACCCTGTGGAATATTCAATACTCTTCTCCAACAAACCTCAAAGGCATTCATTCTTCTTCTGTCACCCTTAGTTACTGTCTAAATTTCAGATGGCTAATGAAAAGTGAAAATTATTTGTGCTTGACTACTAACATAAAAGAGGACTCTGGCTTAGTGTTAAGGAGTTGAGCTCAAGGGCAAAAAGTTAATAACTCTTATCATGCACTTTATGTCCTCTGAAAGCCTGCTGGAGGGTCAGCTATAAGTTGGTTCTGACTTGATAGTACATATCAATAAGCTGAATATTATAAAAAAACAACTGGAACAACATATCAACAGAGAAATAACAGAAGTACAGGCTGGGTTTAGACAGGGTTGTGGCACTAGGGATGTTGTAGCTGATGTTAGATGGATCGTGGCTGAAAGCAAGGAGTACCAGAAGAATGTCTATCTTTGTTTCATCGATTATGCAAAGGCATTTGACTGTGTGGATCATAACTAACTGTGGCTGACTCTGAGAAGAATGGGCATCCCAGAACACTTGATTGTGCTAATGTGAAACCTATACTTGAACCAGGAGGCAGACATCAGAACTGGGCAAGGAAACTCTGCATGGTTGAAAATTGGGAAGGGTGTACGCCAGGGATGCATTCTATCTCCATACCTTTTCAACCAATATGCAGAACAGATTATCTGTGAGGCTGGGGTCTATGAGGAGGAATGTGACATCAGAATTGGAGGAAGACTCATCAACAGTCTGTGTTATGCAGATGACACAACCCTGGTTGCTGAAACTGAGGAGGACCTAAAGTACTTGCTGTGGCAGGTCAGGGACTGCCGTCTTCAGTATGGATTGAGGCTCAAGGTCAAGAAAACAAAGATTTTTGCCACTGGGACAATTGGCAGCATCATGATGGGTGGTGAAGAGATTGAGATTGTTCACTGTTTTTGTTTGCTTGGCTCCACAGACGACACTCTTGGCACCAGCAGCCAGGAAATTAAAAGACATATTGTGATGGGAAAGTCTGCTGTTAGGGACCTCTCCAGGGTACTGAAGAGTAATGGTGTCACTGTGGAGACTAAGGTGTGCCTGGTACATGCTATAGTCTTTGCAATCACTTGCTATGCATAAGAGAGCTGGATAATAACTAGGGATGATAGAAGGAGAACTGATGCCTTTGAGCTGTGGTATTGGAGAAGAGTTTGAATGTACCATGGACTGCTAAGAAAACAAATAGGTTCCACCTGAAGAAGGTTAAAAAGGGCTGCTCCTTGGAGGCAAGCATTCTGAAGCTTCGTCTGACATACTTTGGACATATTACAAGGAGGGACCAGTCCTTGGAGATGGACATCATGTTTGGGAGAGTGGAGGGATAGCGCAGGAGAGGAAGACCCTCGATGAGATGCATTGATTCAGTGACAGGGGTAATGGGGGTAGGTGTGTCGGAGATAGTGATATTGGCACAGGACAGGAAAGAGTTTAGGGCTGTTTTACATAGGGTCACTATGAGTTACAGGTGACTCGAAAGCACATAACAACCACCTAAAAACTAGACATTGAAATCCAACCTGTAGTGCCAAGAAAAAAAAAAAAAAAACTTAGATATTTTCTCCCATAAAGATTTAAACTAAGAGAACCTTGTAGAGCAGTTTCATTCTGGAACATAGGGCGTTACCAAGAGACAGGATTTGAAAATAATAAGCTGTTAGCTTTGGGTTTGGTTTGAGAAAGGCTAAAGACATTGGACATGTGTTCTTCATGTGCCATTAAGTTCCTTTTGGAATATCACACTATCTACTTCATGATAGGGGCTCTCTGGTGGCTTAAAGGTAAAGAGATGTGTTGCCAACTCAAAGGCAAGCAGCTCAAACACACCAGCAGCTCCATGGAAGAAAAGCTGGCTATCTCCTCCTATGCCATTTAGTTTCTGAAAACACACTGTAAGTTGGTTCCAAATCTAGAAGAAAGACCTTAACTTGATCTAATGATGGGAATATGCAGCATGAGGCTGCTACATTTTCCTAAAGTATCTGGAGACTGCTGTTGCTAAAGGGTTAAAAGAGCATGATTATGGTAACAGGACACTGGTAAGAATGCTGTTGCTGTTAGATGCTGTCAATCAATAGTGCTTTACAGCAAACAACACTATGTGTAATAGAATGAAACACTGCCAGTCCTGTGTCAGTCTCCTAACTAATGCTATGACAGAGCCCACTGCTGCAGGCACTGAGGCTCTTCTTTTTATTTTCTGACCCTCTACAAAACTTGGTATCTTTCTCCAGGGACTGGCCCCTCCTGACAACATACTCACAGCACTTTAAATAGATCATCTTTACTTAATTGCATCGCAGAAATGAACAGCTTCCCAATGGCAGGGCTATGCCTTTTGATTAACCATCATTTATCAGTGCCTTCTAATGTAAAAGCTAGGTGGTTTTCAATTCAGTGAAAACAAATTTCAAGAAAAATACATAGGTGTTGGCTGCTATATTTGAAAGGATGTCATTAGAGAAAACAGCCTTTTATGCTCATGGGGGAAAAGTATACACCTACAGATGTTCCAAACAATTCAAATATCCAGAGGGTAATACAACTTGTTCAAAATGTATTTCTTAAAAATGTCAGCTCACTTATATAATAGGCCTAAAGTTTTTTTTTCTCAACTCATATTTTAACTCAAATATGTTGTGCCACTTAATTATTTGGCTCTTAAATTTTTGTATCATAACTAAAAGTTTAGGTATTTCAGCCTCAAAACCCATAATACAGATGTATGTATTCCATAGATAGACAGCAGTAAAGAATAAAAAGCCTTTACTTTTCCAAACAATAGACTACATGAATGTAACAGCCAAGTGTGAGAACCAAAGCAGCTGTGTGTTGGTTGGTAATATCATGGAAGTTCTATGTGGTTAGAGAAAAAAACGATATGTAGTTTGTTCTTTAACCCTATTCTGTTATCAATCTTAGAGTCTCATCCATAGATATTTTCTCATTGTATAAGAGTGGATACATTCACTTTTCTATATTGAATGACAGTAGAGGAAAAATCATATGAAGATCCTGGAAACAATGTCTTATTTCATAGGCAGGTTCCTGGTGGAGCTTCTGTAGCATCTATGAAGAGTGCCTAGTGTAGCCTCTCATATAGCTCAGTAATTTTAACTTTTTATTAAAACCCAAAAATTATAAAGAAGTCCAAATTATAAAATTTAGTCTCACATACTTTGGGCACGATGCTAGTCCCTGGAGAGGAACATTATGCTTGGAAAGGTGTAGGGATGGCAAAAGAATGGAAGACTCTCAACCAGATTGACTGACACGTGACTGCAGCAATGGGCTCCAGTGCCAGAGAGTGTGAGGATGACACAGGATAGGACAGGGTTCAGATCTGTTGTTCACAGGTTCGCTGGGAAACATATTCAATGGCACCTAACAGCAATAAGTTATTGAAAACAGACACTGTTTATCTTCTAACTAATTATTTTACCTGACTAGAAAAGAAACATCCTCATTAATAAACTATGTGACATCACTGATTATCTACCTAGCATCCATTTCTCCTTTCCTAAGAGAACTCAAATATTTGGCCAAGCATTCACCTCTTCCCCATTCAACTCATAATTATCAGAACAAGCTGACTGCATTTACGTCTGAGTTGGTGAAGATATTTTTAAATACAAGATAAATGATGAGGACATGAAGCACTTCCTGCAGAAGGACAAGGACACAGCCTTCAATATGGATTGAAGCTTAATATCAAGAACACAAAGATTCTCACCACTGGGCTAATTGGCAGCATCAGGATGGATGGTAAAGAGATTGAGATCGTTCACAAGTTTAGTTTGCCTGATGCCATAGTCAACACTCTTGGCACCAGCAGCCAGGAAATTAAAAGACGTATTGCAATGGGAAAGTCTGCTGTTAGGGACCTCTCTGAAGTACTGAAGAGCAATGGTGTCACTCTGGAGATGAAGGTGTGCCTGATACAGGCCATAGTCTTTGCAATCACTTGCTATGTGTCAGAGAGCTGGACAATGTCTACGGAGGATAGAAGGAAAATTGATGACTTTGAGCTGTGGTGCTGGAGAAGAGTATTGAGGGTACCATGGACTGCTAGGAAAACAAACAGATTCATCCTGGAGAGGATTAAACTGGCTGCTTCTTGGAGGCAAAGATTCTGAAGCTTCCTCTGACATACTTTGGACATGATGTAAGGAGGGATCAGTCCTTGGAAAAAGACGTTATGTTTGGAAGGGTCGAGGGACAACTCTGGAGAAGAAGACCCTGTATGAGGTGGATTGATTCAGTGACTAGGTTAATCAGGATGGGTGTGTCAGAGACAGTGAGACTGGCAAGGAAAAGAGCAGGGTTTAGGTCTGTTGTACATAAGGTCACTATATAACAACATATAACAATAACAACAACAACAAATCTTTCACAATTTTCATTACAAATATCCAGTAGAATGAAACCATACATATGTTACGCTTACTCAGAGTCTCTTCATTGAACCAGAAACATGTAAGAGCTAGAAAATACCTGTGGTGGTATGACGCCTCCACACATGACAAGAATATCTGGCCGTCCAAGGGAACCGAGTTCTTTGATGAGCTCAGGAACTAAGGTTTTATGACCAGCCGCTAAGGTGCTCACACCCACAGCATGCACGTCTGCATCCACAGCCTGCTGCGCCACTTCACGAGGTGTCTAAACAGTATAAATAACTCATTACTGGTACAATAAACACCTAATGATAGATTTCCTTCTGGTATTAAGCAGGTGCATTACAGTTAACCCCATCTCATGATGACTCCATGTAGACCAAAGCAGAACTGTGAGCCATAAGGTTCTGTAACAAAATGTTTCACCCAGGGACTTCATGTTTAGCACTAAAAATCCTCAATTAGATTAAACATGCACAAATAAAAAGTTCTCAAAAACAATTTAAAGCAAAGTAGGCTGACTAACACATATTATCTCTTGTTATTATAATTTCTTTTTAAGTAGCAATGAGAGTCTGTTGTATTATCCATAAACATTTATTGATGTAGGGAATTGAGATGCTAACCTAAAACATGCACCTCTCTATCCACCAGCAGTTACACAGAAGAAAGATGGGCAAACTCCTCCTGTGTGATTTTCAGCTTCAGTGGAGGGTCAGTGTGTGTTGTTCCATCTCAATGGTAATGAATTTGAGTTTATGTGATACAAATTATCAGGTTACAGTATTGGTTAAAAAGTAAATATTTGAACCACAAAGTCCAAAGTACAAGTTTTAAAACAGAATGAGACAGTATTCAATGTAGGAAGACTGAAGTAATCAGGATTGGTGGAAGAATCATCAACAACCTGCGTTATGCAGATGACACAACCCTGCTTGCTGAAACTGAGGAGGACCTGAGGCGCTTGCTGCAGAAGATCAAGGACTACAGCCTCCTGTATGGATTGAAGCTAAATGTTAAGAAAACAAAGATTCTAACCACTGGACCAATCGGCAGCATCAGCATGGATGGTGAAGAGATTGAGATAGTTAACAGTTTTAATTTACTTGGCTCCACAGTCAACACTCTTGGTAACAGCAGCGAGGAAATCAGGAGACAAATTGCATTGGGAAAGTTGGCTGTGAGGGACCTCTCAAGAGTACTGAAGAGCAACAATGTCAGGCTGGAGACTAAGGTGCGCCTGATCCGGGCTATAGTCTTTGCAATTATGTGCTATGCATCAGAGAGTTGGACAGTGAATAGGGTTGATAGAAAGAGCATTGATGCCTTTGAGCTGTGGTGCTGGAGAAGAGTGTTGAATATACCATGGACTGCTAGGAGAACAAACAGGTTTGTCCTGGAGAGGGTGAAGCCAGAGTGTTCCCTACAGTCAAGGATTCTGAAGCTTCTTCTGACATATTTTGGACACGTTGCAAGGAGGGACTGGTCCTTGGAGAGGGACACCATGTTTGGCAGAGTGGAGGGGCAGCGAAGGAGAGGAAGACCTTTGGTGAGATGGATCGATTCTGTGACTGGAGCGGTGGGAATAAGTGCATTTGAGATGGCTAGGTTGGCACAGGATAGAACAGCATTTAAAGCTCTTGTACATAGGGTCGCTATGAGTCGCAAGCGACTCGATGGCACATAACAACAACAACAACAACAACTTACAAAGTCTGCCATAAACCACAATATCTTTTGTCATCAAGTTGATAACATCCCCACAGGAAAGGAGAAGTAGAAGTGCCTCATAGAATTTCCAAGGCTATAAATAATTACAGAAACACACCGCAACATCTTCTTCCTGTGGAGCAGGTAGTGGGTTTAAACATCTAGCATCTCCTTTTGTACACAACTGCTGACTCACTGTGCTACCATGGCTCTAGTGAACAAGTATCCCTAAAAATGTATGTGTGCTTACCAAGCAACTCATGTAGAATATATATCCAGAAGCTCAGCCTTGTGAATAACAGTTTCCTATAGACTTTCTAGGGTCTATATTTTTTTTAAAAAAAATCAGTAAGAAAGGGGATATCTTAAAGGTTATTCTATAAAGACTAAGCCTATTCAGGAAAGTTTACTACCTTACTAGGGAAAGGCCTACCTCTTTCCTGATTATTCTTCAGCCCATAACTTAGATGACCTAACTGTAGTATGTAATACTGTCATTTCCTTCTCCTTGATATGCTGCTTTTTTTGTTTTTAGTCCTATGATTCTATTTCCTTTCATTCTTGGCCGCATCCTCCTCTTGTTTCCCTGTTTCAAATCACTGTACATTATGTCTAATGGCAAATGACATCCATTTTTATAGAAGCATTTAGTATCATTTATATGGTGCTCAAGACTGCTATTGTTGTTGTTGTGTACCATCGAGTCGGAATAAAACCATAGCTGACCTTCCAGTGGGTGTTCAGAGGTAGTTAATTGCATGGGAGTAGATAGCCCATCCTTCTTCCAAGGAAAGGCTGGTGGACTCAAACCATGTGCCTTTGGGACTAAAGCACAGCTTCTTGCCACTAGGCCACCAGATCCCTGAAAAACTGCTATTAAATCAACAAATTATTTTTCCTCCTTAGTTTAATCTTCTGTGATTAAAGAACATAATAGCAAATAGTAAAAAATCTACTTATAAAATGAGTTCACTCTTGGGTTTCACTTCCCTCTCAAAACAATTCCATTAGCCAGATATGCACTCTCTTTCCCACAAAATAAAGGTCAAATCTCAATGAGCACTAAAATAAAGTCTTTGAAAGTAATATTAAATTTCAAAGTCTAATAAACTATTATTTCTGAACCAAAATATACTTTAACAAAGTCTGAAGTACATTAAAGCAAATATTTAATTGTATTGAAGTTCACGGGACTCCATACATTAAAAAAAGAAAGACATTGTAGAATGTGTTCATCTTGCACAACTTTATATATATTTACTGTGAAGGTTTATATTTACTTGACTATTTTTCAGTATGTGCAACAGCTAATTCTAGTATGACTGATGGCATGTTTTTTAAATTCCCCTCAACATTTTTTAGTACCTGAAAAAGAGGGCCTATGTCGACATCAAAACCAAGATCAGCAAAGCCTGTAGCAATAACTTTTGCTCCTCTGTCATGACCATCTTGTCCCATTTTTGCCACAAGAAGACGAGGTCTGCGACCTTCACGTTCCATGAAGCTGTGAACCCTAAGAGACATTTCAAAATACAAATAGTTAAATCATAACAAAAGGTGGTGGTTGTTGCTATTTGCTGTCAAGTGACCTGTGATCCATAGCAACCCTAAGTACAGCAGCTCTGAAGCCTGCCCTGTCCTGAGCCAGTCTCACTGATCCGACACACCTAACCCCACTGCCTCAGATACTGTATCAATCCATCTCATCCGAGGTCATCTTCTCCTAGCTGTAGCTCCACCCTTCCAAGCATGACGTCCTTACCCACAAACTAGTCCCTCCTGGACATGTGCCCAAAGTATATGAGATAGAGTTTCAAAATCCTAGTCTCCAAGGAGAGGTTTGGTTTCACCTTCTCCAAGAAAGACCAATTTGTTTTCTTGGCAGTCCATGGTATGTTCAAGACTTCTCTAGCATCAAAATTTGAAGGCATCAATTCTTCTGTCATCCTTAGTCATTGTCCAGCTCTCTGATAAATAGCAAGTAATTACGAAGACCCTGGCCTGGATTAGATGCACCTTAGTTTAAAGAATGACATTATTGCTTTTCAGTTTACTGGAGAGGTCCCTGACAGTAAATTTTCCCAATGCAATTAGTCTTTTGATTTCCTGACTGCTGGTATTAGAGTGTTTGCTGACTGTGGAGTCAAGCAAGCTGTAACTGTTAACAACTTCAATCTCTTCTCCATCCATCATGGTCCTGCCAATTGGCTCAGTGGTGAGAATCTTTTTGTCTTTTTGCTGTTGACTTTCAATCCATATTGAAGCCTAAGTTATTTACACTAAACCTTTCCATATTATTTGAAAAATACCTGATATGTTTACATATATTTCAATCCCTATATTATATTTCTGTTACAGCTTAGATATGTTTATTATTTCCATAATGGCCTGGATATATGCTTATTATTTCTCCCTTCTAGAGAAATCTGAAAAATGGCAAACCTTGTAAAATAAAAACTGAGAGAATCGAAGTGAAGCAAGATGAGAAAATAACTTTCCACCTTCTTGTGCCAGTCTCCAGGAAACAGTACACACAGTTAAACATAGACTTACAGGTGTCATTTATACATACATGGTTCATCAGGTGTTTTGGATTGTGCATATCTTACTTACCGTTAAGCATGGATTTCTCTAGTATAAATACAATAAATACCTCATTTTATATTGGTATATAATCAAATGTTTGCTTATAAAAATTAACAAATTTATACTCAATATGCAAAAATATATTTATTTTATGTAAAGTAAAATCTTACCTTTCTGTTACTTCTGTAACTTTGATTATGTTGATACTTATCTAGTAAGTAATACTGACATAAAATTTTTAGTGGGAATTTTGCTACAAAGGATGAGAAGGCCATCACACCAAAGCCATTTATTATGCAATCGTACTGGTTTATATTTGAATGTCATATGGTAATTATAAATGCCAGTTCTCTAAAGATTAATTTCATTTATGAAACGTTTTTATTTTCAAATTGACAAAGCAGGACATTATAATGATTTAGGAATTTAACAATATACATTAACTTAAAATAATAAAGTCTAAAATAGCAAGCTCTGGTAGCCTAGTGGCAAGAAACCACGCTGCAATCCTGAAGGCACATGGTTCAAGGCCACCACCAGCTGCTCTGCGGGAGGATAGGCAATCTCTTCCCATATGATTAACTGCCTCTGAAAAACCTGCCAGAGGGTCTGCTATGGGTCAGTTCCAACGATATGGTAAACAACATCAAAAACAACAACAACAAAATAGCAAGCAGATTAGATATAAGCTTAGTGGCAATAAAGCAGTACAAGAGTTAGTTTGATTAAACAAACAAGAAACGTTTAAAGGAGATTATATTGTTAAAGTTCCAAATAATGCTAAATAGTAAAACTGCAGATCAACAAGAAAGTCAATTCAAGAATCTTTCAAGGGGCATGTGAGAAAATCAAGCTGTTGGTAGATTTATGGGGATTATGAACAGAAAAAATAATATACTGATTTAAGAAATCTCATATATTACCTCTTGATAGCAAAGGATATCTCTTTACTTTCTCCAAATTCCTGGCGATAAGCTCCACTCACCATCCGATCATTAGCTCTATGTTCACCATAGACCTTTTTCATGGCATCTGTGATTTCTCCAACTGTACATCTGAAATATTAAATGGAGATTCTGTTAAAGTCACTAGTTTGAGATAAAAATATTGATTCATTTTAATATCAAATAAAGTTAGAAATATGACATCTTGTATGCATAATGAGCATGTTATATGGTTTTTGCAAAATACACAATCCTTGTGCAATTTCCTATACATGCTGTATGCATTTTATACATGGGCACACGACTTAAAGAGCACATTTTATGTGAAAAAAAATATGACTCTTTACTAGTTAAGAAAACTTAGTAAAGTGAAAATAAAGTGGAAAACCAAGTGCAATAGGCCAAGAATTGAACAAGAATTAAGAGACTAGCACTGTTGTTGTCAGGTAATATCAACTCGATTAAGAACAGTGGTGATCCTATGCAAAACAGACCTGAACCTTGCCCTGTCCTGTGCCATCCTCACTGACATGCTCAAACCCACTGCTACACTCACTGTCAGTCCATCTGATAGTGTTATTCTCTCTTTCTCTGACCGCCCACCCAGCATCATCTCTTTTCCCAAGGATTGGCCCCTCCTGACAACATGCCCCAAATACGTAGGACAACGTTTCACCATCCTTGCTTTTAATGAGCATGCTAATTGCACTTAATCCAGAACAGATTGGTTTGTTATTTTTCACAGTTCATAAGGTGTGCAGTACTCTTTTCTAAGACTACAATTCAAGAGCATCCATTCTTTTTCTGTCATCCTTATTCACTGTCCAACTTTTTTTTTTAATTTTTATTTTACTATTTTTTTGTGTGTGTACTGTCAAATCGGATCTGACTGGCACAGGAGGAGATTGCCCCTCCTTCTCCAGTAGATTTGAACCACATGCTTCTGGGATTACAGTGCAGCTTCTTGCCACTAGGCCACCAGAACTCCCTTATTCACTTTCCAACTTTCAGATACATAGGAAGCAAATGAGATGGTTTAGATTAGGTACACCTTAGTCTTTAAATTGACATGCTTACTTTTTAGCACTTTGGAGAAACTCATGTTTTCCCAAAGCAACACATCTTTTGACTGCTGTTACCGTAGGAGTTGATTGTGGATGCAAGTAAAATGAAATCTCTGACAATTTCAATTATTTCTTCATCTATCATGATGTTGTCTGCTGGTCCAGTGGTACTCAAAAGAGTACATAACAAGAGAACAGTGAAGACTGGAACAGGCCAGTTTCATTGCCATTCTGGTTGCTTCACTACTATGAAAATCTCAAAAGCAATGGAATGACAGCAATATTTTACTGTCAACTGTCATCTTCACCTCAAGACATTTTAATTGGAGAAATAGCAAAGTAGTAGGTAAAACATATTCTGGAGTATATAGACTTTCAACTTGAAAAGTCAGTGAAATCGGCTTATTTTAATATGGCAAATGACCGGAACTAAAGTGAAATACATACTATATGTTCTAAATACACAGATATTTAGGAAAAATAAATTTATGTTGGTTTCTACTGTTTTCCTTTAGGTTCATATGACATATAGGGTTTTCTTTTATACTTTGAAAACCTAAACTGCCCAACATATAGAAATTGGACATCTCCAAATTTTATATCCTTACCTCGCTCGAGCTGCATCCACAGCCAGGGCCAGAATATTTCCATCTCCGCTGGCAGCACAAGCCGTGAGTGCAGCCAGACACCGTTCAGCCAAAGCTTGATCCCTGCTGGATTTGACCTGTGTAAAGGCAAAAGACAGGAACAGTGTAAGCAAGCAGGGAACAAAACTGATCAGCAAAACAGACTTTGATATACAACATATAGAAATACTTTCAAAATCCTACATTCAATAACAGGAGAGAAAATGAAGGGATGAATACAAAACCAAGGTTTCAGTTCATTCACTCATTCAATAAACATTTAAGGTTAAGTTTGAGGTTACTTTGATAAATCAGAATTAAGCAGCATGATAATAAGTGATAGTGCTGAGCCAAGTAGTACACATTACTCAGGCATCTGCAATGACGCAAGACACTAAATGGATCTTTGTATTTTAAAAGACACAATAAAAGTTAACAGCAACGAGGAAGAGAAATAATAGATCAGAATCTGGTAAATATTTTATTTATATTTTAAGACTCTCCCTTAGCTAACAATATAGTAGACACAATAAGAATAGACACTGCTATTCCTTGTATTTATAGATAACAGAGAAAAGCAGATGGAGACAGAAGCAATAAAAAACTCAACAAAACTCTTCCTCTGTATCCTAGCTCTGAATATGCCTAAAAAAAGTTAATTAACCCTTAACATGTTCCACCACTTGTAAAACTACCTAAAATACACTGCTCAAAAAATTACTAACCTCATGCATTATCTGGAAGAATCAGGATACAAAACTTACAGTAAAGGTAAAGGAAACTCAACTCCAAATTACCCAAGAAAGTGAAAAAGTGTTTACCTTTTTCTTATAAACTGTCTGCACTTTTTTTGATCTTTATTCTCAGTTGCAAGTCACAACCCACTTATGGATTGTGATACATATTTAGTGGACTGCAACAAACTTTTTTTTATTTTCTTTTCACTTTGTTGTTTTTAATTTTTATTATTAATATTAATGAAAATTTACAGACTTTGGATTTCCATTCATTCATTGTTGCACTTTTCTTCCTGCCCCCCTTTCCACCTTCCCCACGCCCCCTGCCCTGCCCCAGCAACAAGCATTTTTAAAGGATTAAAATAGAATAGGAAACATAGTTGGGAAAGTACAGTTTTTCACTTCCATCTTATGCACATGCATGCTGCAGTCTTGTGAGCATGTAACAAAAAATGTATTTTCTTTTTCCTTTGTGTCATGGTAAAAAAAGGTTAGAAATGCACTAGTATGAAATTCAGAGCACAACCACAGGAGTCAAATATGAATTCAATTTCTAGCTGTAACATTTCCTAACTAAGTAGCCTTAAGAAAATTATTAGCTCTCCATATCAACTGCCTTCTCTGTCAGATGGAATTGATGAAAATAATAATATGGTTTCTATAAGGATTAAAAGGGATTTCTGAAGAGGGTTCTCACTGCTAACCTAAAGGTCACACATCTCTTGAAGTTCAAATCTACTAGTTGCTCTGAGGACAATTTTTGGGCAATCTCTTCCCAGGCAATTTACAGCCTTGGAAAATCAGCTGAAAAATCATCTGAGTCAATTCTGACTAAATCACAATAGGCTGAGTTGATAAGGAATAAGAAATATAAATCCTAAGCAAACAGGAACTCACAAAGTCCTAATGTTATAAAGGTAATAATATTAAGCAAGCTGCTCCTTTAAGGCAAGGATTTTGAAGCCCCATCTGACATACTTTGAGCCTGCAGCCAGGAGGGACCAGTCCTTGGAGAAGGACATCATGCTCGGAAAGGTGGAGGCACAGTGCAGGAGAGGAAGAACATCGATGAGATGGATTAACACAGTAACTGGAGTAACAAGGGGAAGTATGTAGGAGGGAGTGAGACTGGCTCAAGAAAAGGCAAGGTTCAGAGTTACTGAACATAGGGCTGCTATGAGTCGCAGGTGACTTGATGGCACATAAAAACAAATGTAGAGAGTTATTGTTCAAGAAAATAAGCACATATGCAAATTCTATTTTTTAGTCAAAGTAATATTTCTATGCCTTTAATTCAATCATTAACATGTATTAATAGGTTTTATGAGAAAGGATTATCCCTTAACACACAGGCTATTCAATTCAAGTAATGTTGTGTACCATCGAACCAGAACCAACTCACAGCTGACCTTCCAGCAGGCTTTCAGGGGTAGTTTAATCGCATTGCATGGGAGGAGACTGCTCATCTTTCTCCAGTAGAGCATCTGGTGGATTTGAACCATGTGCCTTTGGGAAGACAGTGTATTCCTTCTCAGTAGGCTACCAGAGTTCCCTGGGCCCTCACTCAAATACTAGTTACTATTTATAAATGTTTTCTAATTGAACTAGGATACCTGATAAATGTTAAGGAGCTCTGGCATGTGAGGAGGAGACTGCCCATTTCTATCCCACAGAGCAACTGGTGGATTCAAACCACATGCTTTTGCAGTTGTAGCACAGCTCTTTCCTCACCATGCCACCAGAACTCCCTTGTCATCCCAAGATGAGTTTATTTATTATAATTATTTGAGTATTTTTTGTTGTTAGCTGCTGTCCAATCAGTCCCTGAATCTTGACAGCCGTGTGCACGATGGGACTGGGCATACATGAAAACAGTAATTCATTAAGAGTCCCTAACACAAAGTGTAGCTAACAAGAAATGGTAACTATTACTAATATTCCCCATATTACAATCATTGAAATACAAACTCATTGCCATCACACAGATTTCAACTCGTAGTGAGCCTATATATAGAACAGAGTCGGATAGCCTCTAGGGTTTCTAAAGCTTTAAATCTTTCTCCCATGAAGCAGACAGTGGGTTTGAATTGGTCAGTCACTACCAGAGTACCTTGCTGACACAAACAGCTGTTCACCTGGGAGCTACAAGGCTAGTGGGTTGAATTCACCCAGAGAGGGTGCTTTGCTTTCAAGTTTCGCAGCTGGGGCAATCCTATGGAGGAGATCGATTCTACATAGATGAGTTGTCATGAGGTAGAATGGATTCAATAGCTGCTAACAAGGACAAAAAGAAGAGCTACCAAATATGTTTTGAATTTATTTTTTAAAAAATCAGAGAGTAAGTGATTCACAGAACTATCAGTAATTAAATTCTAGAGAAAAGAAATTACAGTAAGAAATTCAAAATTAGCTCTGACCTTTGTTTTTTAACTTTGAGTTATATAATGGTTGAAACCTTAGTTCCTAATCTGTAAATTAAGAAAGGTATCACTATTATGAAACAGATTTTATAATAACATGTAATTTTCACAGAAGCAGGTATCATGGTTTAACAGTAAGAGGTTTTGGTGTCCGTAAACCAAAATATGAGTCCTACCTCCCTAATTATTTTGTCCTGAGCAAGTTTCTTAATGTATCTTTAGTGTCTTATTTTTAAAAGGATGAAACTAATATCCACCTCATGGGTTGACTATGTATTAAACAGATCAATAAAAGGGTATAGCTATTGTCCACAACACAGAATGTACTCAATTAAGAACGTTGACTGTACCTTCTTGAGTTTTTCAATCTGTTTGTTACGTACTGAAGTGTTATCAATAGCCAAAACTTCCACAGATTCCTCTTTCTCCAGTTGGTACTTATTTACGCCAACAATAACTTCAGAACCTGTAAATTCCCCAGAAGAAAATAATTGTGTACCTTATATTCACAAATACGTGCCTAACAGCAAAGTCCTGATTATCATGTTTTTCCTTAGAACCTTAATATTTATAAGTGACCTTAATAAAGTTCCAACTCCCTTAATATAAATTTAACTCAACTCATTGCCACCAAGTTGGAGCCAACTCATAGCAGACCCTCCAGCAGTTTTTCAGAAGCAATAAATCAGATGGAGTGAAAGTGACCATCTTCCTCCTGTGGAGAAGCTGGTGGATTCAAATTGTCTACCTTTGAGGTGGCAGCGTAACTCCCTACCCACTAGCACACCAGGGTTTCCTATAAATTCAATAGGAAGTGCAACCCCAAACTGAGAGGAGGATATGAGGTGAAGGATACATATTTCTTTAAAAGGAGACTTTTATGATGTTCTCAAACTATATACTTTTCTAGAATTTCTGACAAAATCTCTTTGAATAATGCCAAAAGAAACAATAACAGCAGCAGCTCTAGTGCATTTATTTCTTTCTTAAACAAACTTTTTTGTGCTTTTTTAAACTGAGATTTTAATGAAAGTTTATAAAGAACTTGAATTTCCATTCATTCATTGTTGTACATTTTCCTCCCTGCATCCCCTTTTCCCCAGTCTACTTTTTTCCTTGGGGGGGAAAAAATAATTTCATTGTTATACAGTCTCCCCAGTCCACTTTACTATGCAGCTCTTATTCTGGTCTCTGAAGACAACAATATTAAAGGTCATTGTGCTCTGCATTGGAATTGGACTGCTAGGAGAACAAACAGGTTTGTCTTGGAGAGGGTGAAGCCGTGCTGCTCCTTGGAGTCAAGGATTCTGAAATTTTGTCTGGAGAGTAGACATCATGTTTAGGAGAGTGAAGGGACAATGCAGGAAAGGAAGACCCTCGATGAGATGGATTTATTTAGTGACTGGTGTAGTGGAGACAATGAGGTGTGTCAGAGACAATGAGTTTAGCACAGGATAGGGCAGGGTTTAGGGCTCTTGTACATAGAGTCGCTATGAGTTGCAAGCAACTTGACAGCACATACCAACAACAATATCCTAAAAAAAATACTGTTGTCTTCAAAATATTAGTGATACACATACATACTAATAAAGAGCATAAAAGCACATAATCTGTATATATGCTTGTTCAAACAGGGATTCTGAAATTCCTTGTGACATACTTTGGGCATGCTGCAAGGAGGGACCTTGGAAAAGGACATCAAGTTTGGAAGGGTGGAGGGACAAAGCAGAAAAGGAAGACTCTCAATGAGATGGATTGACTGACTGGGGTAAAGCTGTGTCAGAGACAATAATGTGGGCTCAGGATAGAGCACGGTTCAGACCTGTTATACAAAGGGTTGCTATGAATCACAGGCAACTTGACAGTACATAACAACAATATTTTTTCAAGTTGCATATATGCTTTTATGCATACAAACATACATATTTATATAACAATGAGAATTATTTTACTAATTTCATTTTCTATCTATGTTATCAACAAATTGCCATAGTCATAAAAATATTAAATTTTATATGTAAACTTGCCGACTTTATCTTACCAGAATCTATTCTAGCTTGTCTTCGAGCAGCACATTCTTCAATTTTTAGTTTGGGTATCCCCTCAGCTACAGCTTTGGCCATTCCCCCCATTTCTTCAATTTCATTTATGAGCTAATAATAAACACAGATGCATAAAACCATAAGAGAACACAAAAAAATTATCAACTACATGAACATATAATGGTATCACAAACTACTATATTAAATGTTTATTATTTTATTAATAAATGTAATACTTCTTAAGGAAATGTGACATGTAGGCCACTCATTAGAAATTGTGTCTACTGAAGTTGTTTGCAAAGACAATAAACAACTAACCAGCATATTCTGGAAAACACAAAACCTCTCATTCAAAATTTGGGGAAAAAGGTATGATCACATCATTTCTTCATAATAAATATTTATTTTTGACTACACAGCGGAAGGTTTGGTAGCTGACTCCACGAAGCAGAATGAAAGAAATGGTAGGCAAACAACTACGGTTTTTGTTATCAACATTTTTATATTTTTTAAAAACAAGTTAAGTAATTTAAAACAAATAAAAATGTATTGTTAAACTGTATTTCTTGTAGGACTCTACAAGATGAACTTCGATGTCTATCTTGTCCCTAAAATATTTTATAACATTTTGAAAGCAAAGTTAAAAGTAAAAGAAACTGACCTTCAAGGCAGCATCATACACATCATTAGTGAGAGATTCCATCATATATGAACCTCCCCAAGGATCGGCTACTTTGGGAATCCCAGACTCTTCTTGAATGATGATCTGGGTGTTTCTGGCAATTCGAGCACTCTTGACAGTTGGCAAACCCAAGGCTTCATCAAATGAATTCGTGTGCAAAGACTGAGTCCCTCCAAACACTGCTGCCATTGCTTCTATTGCAGTACGAATGATGTTATTATAAGGATCCTAAAACATGTTGTAAATAACCAAAGGCAAAATGAGAAAATAGTCCATGTATATTTTAATTTGAGACAGTAATAATAAGCAGTCTACATACTTTCTAAGGCAAAGTCAATGTCAGGCTTATCAAACAAATATAGACAGACAAATGAATAATATGGAGTCAAAGTATCTAATCTGTAGGTTGTTGCTGTAGGTGTGTACCTTCCAGTCAGAACTGACCTTCCAGAGGGTTTTCAAGAGACAGTAAAATGCATGGGAGGAGATTCTCCATCTTTCTCCAGTGGAGTAGCTGATTGATTCAAATCTCCTGCCTTTGGAATTGCAACACAGCTTCTTCCCAATAGGCCACCAGAGTTCTCAATCTGTATGTAGGTACCAAAATACTGTTCCTTACAGTTCAAGTACAGTTCCAACTTGACAGTACACAACAACAACCATTCATATATACCTCAAATGTTGCTTCTTCTTTCTATCCTACTCTTGAAATACTATTTTATCAGTATAATACAAACATATATTTTTTTCATTTAGATTATGAGAAGCTGCAAGTAAAAAAATGTATTATTTCCTAATTATTTAATAATTACCTTGATGTATAATCCAGTGCCTGTTTTGTGTATGTAGGCACTGGATAAATGATTCCCAAAATGGATGAACAATGGCCTGTGAGAAATTAACTAAATTTATAATATACTCAATTATGATTTGGTCAAAACATTTGCCTTCTTTGAACTTCTTTTCCTTCACATTGTAAAAATAATGAAGTAAGGCAAAAATAATTTGTTCTAAACCTGAAATCTGTATTTATCCATTTGAAGGACCTGAAGTTGTCCTTCAAATAGGGTATATTATTATTACACAATATGTTTAATGGAATAAAGTTATGTTTAATTATCAAGTGATACAAGCAATAATAAAGACGGTTTATACACTCATTTAAATACATAATCATATTATAGACATTCATAGATACATACATGGAGAGCTTTGGTTTAAAAATTTTAACTTCAAATTGTTTAAGACAGTTTAATTCAAGTATGATTTCTACTTCCACATTACCACATATTCTGTTTTTAAAACAGAGCTAATAATTACATTATTTTATCATGTTAAACATTGTTGTTATTTTTATTTGCATCGAGTTGCCTCTGGCTCATAGTGACCCTGTGTACAATAACTCTGAAACCTGCTCTGTCTTGAGACAATTTCATTGTCTCCTACACATCTATCCCCATTGCCCGTTACTGAGTCAACCTATCTCATCTAGAATCTTTCTCTCTTAAACTGTCCCTCCATATTTCCAAGCATGAAATCCTTCTCTGGGGACTGATCTCTCCTGACAACATGCCCAAAGCATGCCAGACGGACATTCAAAATCCTTGCCTACAAGTAGCAGCTTGTTTTTCACCCTCTCCAGGACAGATCTATTTGTGCTCTTAGCAGTGTTAACCACTAGAGGGAGCCTAATCACCTGTGACGATGATTAGACACACATATAAAAAAGCAGGTTTAATACATTGATATTCAAAAACAATTTGAACTTATTTTACATCTTAAAGATTAACTTACTGACAATCTTTAGACAATAACTAGATAGTGTCTGGCTACCATAGATGATGGCTCTAACAGGGATCAAGCACAAAATTCCAATTAGAGTGGGTGAAAAATACTCAGCAAAATTCAAAACCATATAAATAGCCAGGCTAACAGTTATTGACAGGGAGCTCTGGTGGCGTTGGCTTAGAAACAAAGAATTGCATTGCCAACTCCACGGAATGTGGTCGGAATCTATGAGCTGTCCCACAGGAGCAAGATGGGCAATCTACTCCCATACAAATAAACTGCCTCTGAAAATCTGCAGCAGGGTCAAATATGGGTCAGTTCAAACTGAGGGTACACAACATAGTTCTGATAAAAACCGGAGGAACCCTAAAACTATGGCCCTTAATCACCACTTGAACCTAGGAAAAACACACTTGTGCGGCTCACCTTTTCCTCAAATAACAGAAGAGCCTATAAGAACAACTGATAAACAGGTCGTAGGATGGGCCATCTCCTCCCATGCAATTAACTGCCTCTGAAAACCTGAGGGAGGGTCAGCTCTGGGTGTTTTGATTCTACGTGACACAATAACAGAACACACTTAGGCTGTGTGTAACTTAGAGGGGGGTGTGGGGAGGCAGATGCCTGTACCTTCCTGAAGAGAAAGTGAATTAGTTGGGGAAGATGGTCACCACCAACCACCAAGGACAACAATGGACTTCAGGAGAGGACATCACTCAGGTGAGAAACGTTCCCAATTCTACACTGGACTAGAGAGGGCGAGAGGAGGGTGCTGAAGGGTGCTGCCTGTGTCCCTGAGGAGAAATTCCATCACCTGGGGATGTTGGCCACAGGCCACATCACCAAGGACAATAACAGCCTTTAGGAGAGGTGGACCTCACTTAAGGTGAGAGACTCGACCTAAGCTGCACTTGACTAGAGAGGACACTGAGGTGCTAGGAGGTAGGGGCTTTCAGTTCACATAGAGAGTAACTGCATCAGTTGAGGAAACTGGTCCTGCCTCTGACATCAAGGACAACAATGGACTTTAAGAGAGGCAGGCCACACTCAAGCAAGATTTGTGCAGGGCTGCTCTGCAGACAAGAGAAGACCTGAAGGTCTTTAGGAATGGTGAGCTTTCGTGCTGCACAGGGCCAAAAAAGACCTACAGTAGAGCAAGGTGTCCTCGCTCACAAAAAAAAATACTTTAAGCCTGCATCTCATCAAAAACTTCATATAGATTAAGTGTTACCAACAACCTATGCAAATACTACAGAAATGGAATAACACACACCAAGAAAAACTTTCCATAATGTCGCGTAAGCAGCAGACAAGTTCGAGCAGAAAGCCTCAAACATTGCCTTCTTGAAATAAAGCAGAATATATTGCAGAGCCAGTGAATGCCCTAGAGACAGGAAGGCAAAAGAAATGCATTGATGTGCAGAAGGGCAATCCCCTTCCCTTGCAATTAACTGTCTCTGTAAACCTACCAGAGGGTAAGCTATGGTCGGTTCTGACTTGATGGTACACAACAAAACCAGAGCACTATTGGGTTGTAGAAGAAACATAAGAAACAAAAATGTTCCTTGAAACAAAATATCAAAACCTTTAGTATACAGTTAAGGTAGTCCTCAAGGGGCAATTCATAGCAATAAGCAAACACATGAAAAAGGAAGAAAGAAGCAAATTAATGACCTAACTCAACATCTCCATAAAATACAAAAAGAACAGTAATACACCCCCACAATCTCTAGAAGAAAGGAAATTAATAAGGACATGAGCTAACATCATTGGGATAAAAAACAGAAAAACAAGTCAAACCATCGACAAGAACAGGAAATGGTTCTCCAAAAGGGTCAATAAAAGAGACAAACCAAAGCAAAGATGGTTCAATGGGAAAATCCTCATCTTTCATTTAGGAAACCTGAGTTTGACTCCTGGTCCAGATCACCTAAACTCAGCGACTACCCTTCTCGGAGTGAAAGCTTACATGTTGTCAGGATATAGAATAGGTTTTAGCGGGGTTTCCAGATGAAGATAGAATGGGAAAAAAGACTTTGGGATCTATATCTGAAAATTAGTAAAGGAAAAATCTGAGAATAGTTCAGTCTCATTGGACACGAAAATTGCTAAGAATTTGGGGCCAACTTGACAGCAGCGACCAACAGTAGCACAGTAAATGTTTAGTGAAAGTCAACTAAAAAAAAAAAATCACCATACTGTCCACATTTACTTGATGCAGTATTTTACAAAGATATATAAAATGATGAAGGCTCTATGGAAAAAATGACTACAAGTAAAAAAATATATATAAAAATGCTTTATAGGGTTTACAACTATGAAAAATAATATAGAAAAACCAAAAAAAGATCATAAAATAGTAAAATGAGAAATATAGCAGTAACTAGGTTGCAGAAAAGCTTCTTTTTTAATTGTTGATTATCATTAAAATATAAGTACAAAATTATACCATGCATTTTGCTTAAGAATACTTAATAATATTCATATATTAGCAGAGAAGGTCTTAAGTCAGCTGTGGACTTTGTTACACTTCTTAGATGTAAAAGTTACGACCAGTAAATGCTATAATTTAAATTACACCAATACCTGTTCAGTAAGCGACCATCCTGATGTCTGGCAGTGTGCTCTTAGAAGAAGAGATTTAGAGTTTTTAGGCTGAAACATCTGCTCTATTAAGTGAGCCCACAGTCTTCTTCCAGCTCTCATCTTTGCTATTTCCATGTAAAAGTTCATCCCAATTCCCCAGAAGAAAGACAATCTAAAATAGTTATAAAAGTCCAGAATTTTACTCCACTTGATAATACAAAACAGGAAACGAAACTAGTCATATCGCATATGAGATGATCAGTGTCTTCATTTTCATTTCAAACAACTTCAGCTCACTTAAAATCAAGAACCATTTAGTTAAGTAAATTCAAATCTAATATACGATGGTATAATTTTATAAATGCAGAAGAAACAGCTGTGATGATATGCTTCAAATGAACACTGGTGTCACAGTGATGTGATTAGAGTGTTTGGTTAGTAACAAAAATATTGGTGGTTGGAACCCATCTCTTGTTCCATGAAGAAAGACAGGAAGTTTGCTTATGTAAAGATTTACAGCCTTGGAAACCTTATAGAGTAGACACTCTACTCTGTCCTTCAGGATCAGTGTGAGCTTTTTAGCTCTATTTGCTTCACAAGTATGAATTTTGCAACTAGCTGTCTTTCAGAAAGAAGTTTTTCTTCTGTCCATAATTAAAGAAGAGTTCAACTATTTAAAGAATATTCAAGAAAGGAATAAAACTCACTAACTTACTTTGTTTGGTTAGCAAGAGATACTTTTAAAAAGCCTGCTAATTTAATCTGCCACTCATTCATTGCTCACTGCAGTCAAGTCAAAACCAACTCATAG